TTCATATACATATGTGCTTCCTGTCATGAATCTCAAGTGTTGTGCACTGTGGTGTCTGACATATACTGCAAATATAGTGTGCTCTTTTCCTGCCCACTCCATCATCACGCTTGGTGATGTACAGGCACTGAAAGTCCACTCTTTTAAAATGAAAAAAGATCTATCTATCTATCTATCTATCTATCTATTGTTGTCCTCCTTCCACTGTTTTCTGTGAATCCAAAATACAGTAGAAAATGTGTTAGTGTGTTCCTTCACTTCAGCCTTTTTGTCTCAAATGCCTAGTCACACACAGTGCTAGTACATTTGATTAGGTTTAATGGGAATATTAAGCAGACATGCAGTGACATTCAGAATACTGTCTCTGACTTGTACAACAGCAGAACCTGTTGTATAATTCGGGGTAATTACACTGCCTGTTTTGCAAGGAGCTCCCCAGATAAAATATATGCAGTTGTTGAATGTGAACATGGCCAGTAATGGACTTGTCATGAGTGAAGTGTGAAGCGTTGCCTGACAAGAGCACTACAGTAGGATGCATGTCATGTCCTGCCAGATCAGGACATTGTCACCCGCTCTCCCCACCTCAGACCTCACTGATAGCCTCTGACAGCCGCCATGTTTCACAAAGTGTTGACACAGTGAATGCCACTGACACTTATCTCTACTCACCTTTTTCCTGTCCCACTCCGGAGTATCAAGGCCGGTTCTGGGGACACTTAGTGTTGGTTATATGACTGACTATTTTAGGTGGAGTGAGAGGCAAAGGACAAACGAAGAGAGAGAAAAGTACGATAAAAGAGGAAGGAGCAAGTGCTCCCAGGCCTCATGCTGGGTTTCACTTGCAGCAGCAACACTTACAGACTCAGCTCAATCCCAAGTTTTGCCTCCCACTGATACTCCAATCAGTCCAGATCCACTGTGATGCACCTATGAAAGGTTGTGCTACTCGGGTCCTGTAAAAATATATGCACTGCCCTGTATTTGTAGCTATGGCTTTCCCCAACCTGTCTGTTTAGCCAGTGTGAAGTGCAGCACACTGAAAGACTTTGAGTTATTAATTTATTAATACATTTATCAAAGGCAAATTTCCTCTACTGTGATACAGTTATTTGCTGTTCACATTGCTGACATTCACCGTGTAGTACAGTGGAAGCTGCATGATCTCACTTGTCTGAGAGAAATACTGTATGTGAGAAAATGGTGTTACTGTGTGTAAATTATGTTTCTGTTCAACTTCATTGCACATCAGCTTTCATCTACATCTCTATCATGCATTTTTTTTGTTCATCTCCAAAACATGAGTTCATTTATGTTTATTGTAATTATTATTATTATTTTATTTGTTATGCATGGAGGTCTATTACAAATATACTTGTTTATGCATTAATAAACATATCTCTGTTTCTTTTCTTGCACAGAGCACTGTACTACATTTTGATGCTATGAATGTGTTGATGTAACAATGTGTTTGCCTCAGAGAAGCAGTGACTCAGGAAGCAGCTTTTTGAGGTAGCCACTTAGTCACCTGTTTCACTAGATTAAGCCATCCACAGCAACTGGTAAAGCTCTGATCTGATTGGTTAGGTAGAGCTGCTCACCTCATTAACTCCATGTCATGCTGTGCTGCAGCTCAAATGTGGGTGTATCCTGAAATGATTTTTTTTTCACTTTAAACCACAAAGTCCATGTATATATGCATGACACAAATCAGTGTCAGTGACAACTGCAGATCACATCTGTATGACGCCTCCCACATCAGATCAAGTCAATAAATTGATTAGAACAAGTGGAGCTTCAATGCCTTGTATTGCTCTCCCAAAGGGATTTAACTGTTGTCATGGAGACATGATGTGCATCAACAAAAGAGGTGACTGATAACACTGACATGACTAATCTCTTTTTCTTATTTCTGCCCCCTGTTCCTTTTTCCTTTGTCATTCTCTTTGTATCTGTGGCCCATTTGTTTGAGTAGCTGTGTAGGATATTTTTTGCAGTCCCCCACCCCCTACCCCAACAGTAACTTTCATACTTTCTCACCCCATGCATCCCCTTTTTCTCTTGTCTAAGATAAGTGTGTGCATAGAGGAGTGTCAGTTATAAATCTCATTTCACTGTGTAGCCTTCTCAGATACCAGCAAGATAAAGAAAGCCATAAATATGGCCGTATCATATGCAAGTTATTGCTTTGCTTTTAAATGTAACAGGGCAATGAATAACCGGGGAAATTGTGAAAAATAAAGTGTGAATCAAGGCTGAGCTCTGCTATAAGGGCGACAGAGAAACCGTGTCTCTACAAAATGCATTTAAGTAGTTGTCTTTAGTGTTGAGCGTGCTAATGTGATGGGGTGCATAACGACGAGCACTGCCTTCAGATGGATGCAGATTGGGCTGTGCAGGATGTGGTCTGCGATTAGCTGTTTTTGAGGATTTTGAATTTTGGCTCTCAGTCACCATAGTAACCAGAATACAATACCACCCTTTAAAATCAATTTCTTGTTCTTTTTTCTTTCATCCTTTCTTCCTTGCCTTTATTCCTTTCTTTCCTTTTTATTATCTCGCCTTTCCTCCTTCCTTCCAGTCAGTGTCTCTCCCTTTCTTTCTCTGTTTTCCTCAGTCTTTGCCCTCCCACCCTTTCTCATTCTCACCACTCTCAGGGCTTAGGGGAAAACGAGAGGCAGGGAGTTGGACAGAGATGGAGGGAAGGTGGGAAAGAAACGAGGCGAGACAGGGGAGAGTCTGTTAGCGAAAGCGATACAAAGTGAGGGAGGGGAATTTGAGAAGCTACACAGAAGGTGGGGGGAGCAGGAGTGAAAATGAGAGAGAGTTTCTTGTCTTGTCTCCCAGCTCTAGCTAGCCAGTCAGTTATTCAGTCTATTCCGCAGACAGAGGCTTTTTTCTTCCCTCTACCTCTGGATGTGCTTTATCTGGCTAGAGTGTCGCACCAGCTGGGTATTAAACCCTAGTTTGGGAATAAAATAAACAAGATTTTGCCAAAAATGAAGCACAAATGCCAAACAAGGCTATGCAACTAAACCGCTGCACAGAGATAGACCTGTGTAAAAAAGGGAGGCGCATGGTAACATTGTGTAATTAGCCAGTGCATTTTCCCTATCACTGTCAAGCCAGATTAGCCTCCTCCCTGGTTAGGAGATGTGTCAGAGTACCTCTCTCTTTAGTCCTCTTAATGGCTTCCTGCATGTCTATATTGGGAAGTGGCTCAGCCTCCTGGAAGGCAACACAAAACCAAATACAACCCTAATCATTTGGTTTATATTAGGCAAATGACAAGCAACCTTTTTCCACTAAGATACCAATTACTATAATAGAGTTGAACTCAACATAACAAGTGGGCATTAATTTGTTTCATAGACAGCAAATATGATAGATTTGATAGAATATTGCTTCCATTTCCATTAGCAGACCAGCAGACTGTATCCTTACAGCTGGTATCTGGGAGGTGACTGTCAGTTTGTCTGTTTGTGTCCACCATGTGCTATATCTGAATTTAAGATGACCCTTGATCGGAGTGGGTGGACGGCAATGTGTATGTGTTAACGATGGCCACTCTTGCAGACATACGTGACACCGGTGCCAAGCCTGTGATGGTCTACATCCACGGAGGATCCTACATGGAGGGGACAGGCAACATGATCGATGGGAGCGTCCTGGCCAGCTACGGAAATGTCATCGTTATCACTCTCAATTACCGTGTTGGAGTCCTTGGTAAGAATCTTTTCATTTCTTTTTCCCCCTTCACCTCCCACTTCCATAACATTTTTCTGGGGCATCTTTGTAGGGCAGCTACATGTAATGAGCACACCTGATTGCCACATACAAACAAGGCTGGGGGAAATACACAGCGGTGTAAATGCACAGACTCGTTCCTGTGCTTCTTGTTGACGTGGTGCTTGTGTATCAAAATCACAGTAATTGAGTGTGCTGAATGTGGGTTTGTTGTTGTGACTGGGGGTTTAGAATAAATTAAGAAATTATTGTAATGAGTTTGAAAAAAAATGATGAGATGGGCGTGAGGCTGGAGAGATAGAGGAGAGGAGAAGAGTCTGTTAGACAGAACGAGGGGTTCTCGCTCCGAGTTGCGGTTGGTTGCAGATTGACTCACACAGCTGAATCCTCTTTCAGACACTTGTGCATGTGTGTGTGTGTGTGTGAGTGAGAGAGTGCATGGAGAGGCAGAGAAAGAGATAGAGAGCAAAAGAGAGGGAGAGAGAGCTCCATGGAAACAGCTGCAGCAACCCAAAATGGAGTTTGTTAGCACACTACCCAAGCTTTGTACTTTTCCCATCCATCTCTCTGACACAGCTGATTTTCCTCCTCACACATTTTTTTTACATTTCAAGTGGTTGCGTACCAACCGCAAACACTTTGAATATAAAATGAAATTTCCATGTTGTTTGCATTTGGTAAGAACAAAGCCTCAGATTGAATCCAAATTGTTGGCACTTGTTTACATAAAGGTTATTACTTTGGATATTCCACAGGATAGTGCGTGATTATTATTGTCAAAAAAGAAAGAAAGAAAAATCCCATTAAAAAAGACCAAAACCAACAATTTGTAATTCTGTATCTTAAGACATCCCTACTCAGCTAGAAGCACACTGGGTGCAACTGAAGAAATATTGTAAATGTTTTAAAACTAGTTGTGAATATATAGCTTCATTTTTTCAAAAGTTTCCTCAAACAAAAAACTAACATAATTTTCTCCTGGGCTCTGTAGTTTCTGGTAAACATTACTCAAAGTGAGGTGAATATGACATTTGTGGTTACAGTATGTGAACCCAGTTGCTATAAATGACTGAATCTTGACTTATTTGATGCTTTTTTTCTTCTTTTTTTAGGTGCAGATTAAAGAGCACCTATGTAACATTTGTTCAGTGGTGATTACAAGCACATAATAAACCTAAAATTTAGCAGCACAAGTTATAAAAACAGCAAAATGATTCAGTAGCATGAGTCATACAGCAATACCTTAAGATAAAGCCCATGATGCACCAAGCTCATGGTCGGCCTTTGGGTGTTGGTGAGATATGTCATCCTCGTCTTCACAATGCTGGCATTAGTCAATCTCCGTTGCCAGCTTTTCAGACAATTGGGCATGCTAAACTGGTGGTGGACCTCGTTGGTGAGAGAAACCACTCTGATTGGCTGTTCAGCTTAGTGAATCACAGCACGAGAAAAGAAATCTTCAGGAAAGCCCCTTGAGTTTATTGCTGTAGTATCCATGATTTCACCCATGTAGTGCGGTTTCCCCTGGTTTTTCGCCTCCTGCAGCCTCCTTTCTTCTTCTACAACCAAAAGACCAAGGGCAGAGAACAGCATTGCCATTTGTAACTTCTTACCAGACATATTGCTGATTACAAGCAGCCATAAACAGCATCTGTGTTGAATGAGACCTGCTTTGTTTATGCTTTATTTCCACTGTCTAGGTCTTCTTCTTCTTCTTCTTCTTCTTTCCTTTTATGAATGGCAAATACAAATACAGCCACTTGCTGGTGGGAGGAGTTATTTCTCTCACACAGGTACAAAATATATGTGCGAGTTGTAGTCTGTGGTCTGTGCGGTGTGTTCAAGTACCACTTTTTCAACCCTGCTGGCCCAGACAAAGGTGACATGAGATGATGTCGGCCTTAATGGGTGTTAGTTCTCTGACGTCGGCTTGGTCTGTCTCTGCCCTAATAGTTATACTACAGATATGTATGTGTTGAATTGAACAAGTTTTGTTTTTTTGCTTTTTTTTTTAAGTGCATTTAAAGCAGCAGAACAGTGTGTATACAGTCTCCATGATCATAATGCAACAGTGCAGCTCCCCAATGTGTTCTTAAATGTTTAAACAGCAAAGGTGGTCAGAGGTACAGAAGAAGCTACTATATATCAGTGGTTACCAACTTGCAGGTCAAGTTCACAAAAAGTATTTTTAGCATTTTTTTTTAAAACATGTCTCTTTCCTTTTGATATATTGGACAGGTTTACCTTTTCAATTTTTAAAATGTATTCATATGAAGACTACTGCTCTACTGCTAATACACACACAATACGTGTCAATTATTGGTTTTGGTCTTTTATGGCATTTGCTAACAGTAAATAAAATATAGAATGCTATCCTACTGTATACCTATCCTTAAAGGAGCAGTCCACCTCACCTCGCTGCTCAGAGAGCTCCACATTTCTAGAGCAGGAGGGTGATTGACGAGTGGTGCTGCATTATCTTCCAGGACATTAAGATGACTTGTGTGGTTGAATCATGGAGGCACAACTACATCATCCTGAGACTCTTTTTGATGGAGATGAGAGCGCTACGGCCTATCGATTTTGTCATCAGGATTGCTCGTCTTGAATACTCTGTGTTTTGCTCTGTCATTTTTGTTATCATTGTGAGCCATTGTAATCAGCCTTCAGGGTGGTAAGGTAGTCAGAGTGCTGGCTGAGCATGCTGCCTTATGCTCCTGTTGCTGGTTTAAAGCTGAGCACGTAAGCCTAATACAGATTCATGATCATATTTCTTTCATGGCACTTCAATTATGAGTCAGATGTTTCTTCTCTCGCTGCCACATTTCACTAAATGTCATTCTACATGCATGCACACACACCCTCCAACACCACAAATGAGGACTCTGCGCGCTCACACACATTATTATTTGCACACACACACAAACAGTTTTAGCAAAGGCAGAGGCACAAGCATAAACAAACCATGCACATACACAAACAGATGTGGTTTTCTCACACGCACTAGCACACACACGCTCAAAAAACATGCACTCACGTAGACACAACTACAGTTCATAAAGCAGCTCTCTTAGTGAGCTCCCCGGCAGCCATTCTGAGAAATGAGCAGAGAAGAAGTGATGCATGTAGTTGAGTGATAATGTCCATCGCTGTAGCATGGTCCGATAATCTCCCCATGGTACAGCTTTAAACTGTTATTACAGACACGCTCATATAAACCAAATAAAACCAAGGCCAGAGAGAGATCAGACCATGATGGGCCAATTAACACTAAGCTGTGCGAAGATTTTCAATCATAAAGTGTGAACTGCAGTATTCACATCATGAGAAATTGTAATTACTTGTCTTCATTTTATTTTTGTTTGCAGTTTTTATTGGATATGGGTGTCGCTAACAGTTGTGTTGTTAATCTAGTCTAAACAGCATTAAGTGGAAAAGATTAACTTTATGTGTTTGACACTACATTAGTCATTGCACTCCTAGTTGAAAATCATGCATTTGCAGCGTAATATGAGGTCGTCTGATAGCAAGGCGAGAGAAGAGGCTTTAGTTTCTTCTTCTGCAGTTTTAGTTCAAGCACTATGTACTGTAGCAGGACTCCCTTCATTTAAATAATGAAAAAAATTCTTTAATTTAGATTCTAAGCAGTGTGAGGCAGTTTCATGTAGAAATGCAGAAAAAAATAAATAAATATTAATGAAAATAGAAAGCTCTTTTAATTAGGCAGCTTAAAGGGATGAGGGAATAATGGAGGGAGCAAGAATTAGACAAGATAATGAGTTTAAAGTGAAAGCAGACAAGGCAACTCAAACTACACTTTCTGACACTAATATAGCTCTTCCACGGTCTCTGGGCAATCTGAGTATGGCATTAATAATGCAGTAAACACCTCTGAAATACACACAGCAATCTGAATATTTAACTCCTCTCAGAAACAATAGGCCTAAACTATTAGGCAACAGCAGCCCTTGCTAACAAGTGTGCTATGAAAGCAGTTAATTTTAGAGAAAGAAAAACATTTTCACCAGCAAACTGGTGGACAAACTGGATAACACCAAACTTAGGTAAACATCACTGATGAACATTTCATTTTCATTATGCTGGTTCTGCAGGAACACAATTTCCAGAGCTTTTCAGCATGTCACTCAAGTGGAGCAAAATTTATTGAAAGATGCTCAGCATGTTATGAAATATAGATTTAGCATTTGTTTGTTGTTTTCCAAAAGACAGGCCACAGTGGATTTAATCTATATTTCAATGTGGTTTCATAATACGTGCGCCGCAGCTGCAGATTCTACAGTGAAACACAAGCTGAGAATACATTTGCAGAGAGAGAGAGAAAAAGAAAAAGACTGAGGAGAGAAGAGAAATGTGCTAAAAAGAAGAGATAATGTAGAGGAGAGTTGTACAAATTCTATTCGAAGACTGATGTGTCGATTCGCTGCCAACCCTGTTCCAATTAAAGAGGAGTCTGCTAAGTTTCTAGTGCTGTTCTATCATTCCCTGCAGCTCTTAGCCCTACGCTGCTGTAATGGTAATTATTGCTTCAAAGGGTGGACCACAACTCTCCTGAGGCCCCATTTGGAAACTTTTATATCTCAACCTTTCCCTATTTAGATGAATGAGAATTCATATCAGATTTAATCTCTAATTACTTATTGACCCTCCGCAGTGTGATTATCACCAAATGAGATAGAGAGAACAGAGTTGAACATCGTCCAGTCTGTCCTGTTAGGACTCGTCACACTCGGCTCGGCTCAGGGACCTGAGGAGCAAGAGTTTGTTTACCAAAGAGAAACAGTGTTTGGATTTCTGCTCATTGATCTGTATGTGCGACAGAGAGACAATTGTAAGTGTGTGTGTCTCAAAGTGTATGACTTGTCTGCCTGTGTGTGTGTGTGTGTGTGTGGTCTGTGCATGTAGTGCGCATGCATGTACCTATTGCGCCGCCTCTCTAATGATGTGTAATGAGTCCCAGT